GAAAAACTATGAAGTAGGATATTAAGTATTCTAAATTGAACTTTGTATTACTACGTGAAATATTCAACTAAAACAGCTTTGCTTAATTTATCTGTGAATTATCGTTAAATTAGTTTCGAACAATGTTACATGTATCTCGTCGGAAAATGTTGAATATTTCCAGTTGAAAAGCTTTCGAGTGCAAATGGTTGAGAATGTTCTAATGTTGTTTAACGGGAGTTTGTAATTGAAGGATGCCGTATCCTGAGATGGCAGGCCTTTCCAAGCTGCCGGCGGGTCATCGCGATCGGTGACCTACTTGGGGACAAACAGCTTTTTCGTCCTAAACGCGTGCCGGTCTCGTGGCCTCGAGTTTCCGGGGCCCGTGTTCCACTAATTATTATTTCCTCCTCCGCTTCTTAAACGGGCTATTTTTTTCGGTAAATGCCCGACAGACGTAAACAACGGGTCGGGCCACGGTGTTCTGCGCTCCGTCGAAGCGCAGCTACCGGAATTTGTTTATTTTCCGCGCGATGACACGTGGGTTCCTCTGCCCGTCTTTCTTCGTTTTCTTCGCGCCTCTCGCGCCGCGCCCCGGGGAATCCCGCTCGGATTCCCGATTTTGAGAATTTCTCTTGAAACTATGGACTAACGAGTCATCGCGGGATCGACGGTCAAAGCTGGCGGTTCGTCAATCTCACGGTGGAACTACCGAGTAACCGAATTTATTCTTCTTCACCTTCCTCCTAAACTATGGAACTGCGCTTGTCAAGATTCCCATTGGTTCACGCCAACGTTAACACTAGATTTACTGACATTTACCGTGCACTTTGTTCTATTGTTCTTAAAAAACTCATCCATTCATTTGTATCTTAGAAATTAAAGGTTTAAGAGTAGACAATTAGAATACATATTTACAGAACCGCGTTAATAAAGACCCAAACATTTATCAAATGCTTATAAAATTCAGTGTGAGTCAAATCGACTCGTTCAGTAGATCTGTTAAGGAATCCCACGATGGCACGATCATTAGCTCCATCGAAGACCGAAAAAGAATGACAGGCAAGCGAAAGTTCCGACGCAATTCCGAACGAGATCGATAGTCGTTAAAAGTTAATCTCTCAGAGAGCAGCAAAAGTTGCACGGGTAAATGGTGAGGTTCCGTCAGAGGAGGAAACGAGAGACAGAGAGAGAGAGAGAGAGGGAGACGTAATAAAGAGCGAGGGAGCGTGAAAGAGGCGGAAGGAAGAAGAGGAGAGCACGAGGGAGGGGACGCGCGGCGGCGGACCGCGAACCGAGAGGAAGAGAGAAATTCAGAGGGGCCATGTGGTGTTTCAGGAGATATCAAATCATACTACGTGTACGCCACGCCGCCCCCTAAATATAGTTTATTGCGTTACCGAGTATTAATGGAGCTTCTATAGAAAGGATGGAGATGCGAGTGCGCGCCGCCGAACTCGTTCCTCCTCGGCCGAGCCGGGAAACCGAAAATAAAACCGTCGATCCCGCGTCGATAGCGGTTTTCTCTCTCACTTTTTTTTACTTTCGTTTCGCCGTTCCGTCGTTCGATTCCGCGAACGATCCCTTAAAAGCCGCGGGTCACCTTCGCGAGCTTTTACGAGGGCGAAACGCGACAAATTTATTTTCCGCGGTGACAGGACCGAACGATCCCGTCGGCGGGAATCGGGAATCGAGGTTGCCCGCGGTGAATTCTTTCCGCTGAATTCCAGCTAGAAACGAACTCGCGGTTTATTGTTCCAAGCGCCCCTGTAAATGCAGCGAAACTGATTTACGGGGCGAACTCTTTTTAATGCGTCTGCTGTATCTCGCATTGTGTACCCTGGACTGTTTTCAATTAACCTGGATCTACCGTGATCGTTATTCGCGATAGATCGCCCGCCGCTATTTCTAAATTTAATCCGTCGGGACTTTCGACACTGCTCGGGGCTTCCTGCGCGTGTGGTCCCTGTTCCTTAATTCGGAAGGCGATCGTCGAATTCCAGTCGGCTCGACTCGGTTCGGTGACCAATAATTATTCGGTGCGCCACCGTGGTAGCGGCGGAACGGACGATTGGATGATTGCGGCTGCGAGCGACGAGTTTATGACGGAAGAAAGACTCGAATAGAAATTCGATGGATTTAACACTCGATCGACGGTCATTTACTGTACAGTTCGTTCTGTCGTTCCTTGAGAAAAATCTTTGTTTACTTGGATCTTGGAAATTAGTTTAGAAGCAGACGATTAGGATACATATTCGCGTGACTACATCGATCAAAATTGACTCAAACGTTTACTAAACAATATTTATCAAATTCAATATAAGTCACATTGACTCGTTCAGTAAATCTAGTGTTAAGGCAACGTTCACCGACATTTATTGTATAGTTCATTTTGTTATTTCTGGAAATATTGATATTCATTCATTTAGAGGTTTAACCCTTTGCGGACGAATATCGACATTTCGAGAATGTTTATGTTTCGGAGACCAAGTCGGAAACAAATGATTTAATTAGTCGAACAGCAAGAGATCAACATATAGCTTCTATTTTTTCTATTATTTGAGCTATTGATATATAATTTAGCTTCATCTGCTGATTTTGTATATTTCAAACCATCTTCGGATTAAAAGTAGACAATTACGATGCACAATCGTGAAGCTAGCGTTGAGAATCTTGCTTTTACACGTTCCGATTACAGTCCAGCAAAATAGGCTCAGACTCTATTGAACGGGTCAGGATAATTAGGGAAAAAATGGAGCGGATGCGAGTTGCGGCGATTTTTTCGACGAGATCCACGATCACGCCAGATTTCGGATGTGTGTCGATGTCAAAAATTTCAAACATAAACACTAGGCATCGTACACGTGTCCTCTGTATATCATAAACTCTTCGCCGGTCGTCGAGGCAGCCTTTTCGTCTTGCTTACTACGTCCGCTCCTCGAGGTTCATTCATAAAACGCTGACAGCCCTTTAAACCGTGGGACGGGCTACAATGAACCCCTAAACGTAAACGTTCCTGTTTGCTCGCGCATTTCCTTTTCAAGGTTAACATCAGCCGCGTTCGAACGCATCCGATTATTGACCTTTCACCGCAGAAAGTTCCTCGATCTCCCTTTCGTTCGTCCGATCCGCCTCTTCTCTTATCATTCCATCGACTCGAGATCATTCCGGTGAGATCTAATTCGGCAAGCAGCTCGAAGCACACAGAAGACAGGAGAAAATAGAAGAAGACACATCGAAAGTGGAGGGGCCGAGACGATCGACGCGGAGCTACGGGGTGTGACGCATCGACGCCGAAGAAAAGTTACTCTTCGCTACTGGAATAATAAACAAACCCTTTTTGTAGGTGCCAGCCGATATACACAGTGGCCCGTTGTTAAGGGAGCGCGGTCCCTGATCTGGGTTAATAAAAATTGGAGCGGTGTCGCGTTTCAAGGAAGACCGACGCTCGAAATCGCCCAAAGGTCCTCTTTGACCGTGGCTGAAAAGGGTGAAGACGCTGCCCGCTACCGAAAAAGCGATCGTTCCCAGAAAATCCTCCTTAAATCATCTTTGTCGTCGTAAAGTTCACTTTGAACATCTCACGGAACGCGTTGGCTCCATTTCGACGGGCGCGTGTAACAGAATGTTGTTTACCGGGCCCGAGTGCAATAAAAGAAAAAAAGAAGATGATCACTCGAGGAGCCCGGGACAGGGTTCTCCTTTGAGGAACAAACGGAAGTTTCCCGTTCGAGTCACCTGCAGCGATCGCAGGATCCTAGCGGCGTTTCGCGTTTCAGCGCGAGATAAGAATATTAATTCGATTCGCTTGATAAACGACGAGCGCGCGAGCGAAAAAGCTGACAGAGGACGCGTTGACGGTGATCCACGGTGACAGAGGGAACTTTTTGCCATCCGGCGAAGCGTTGCCCTGGGAAAAAGGCAGATAAAGCCACTTCTGCTAGCCACGGCGAGCCAAGACGGGGATCATGCGCTGACCGCTACTATTTTCAGCTCTTTTTGCCGCTAATTACGGCGCTCGTGGAAGCGACCTTTATCGAAAGCCACTCGAGGGCCTGGACACTTCAGATTCGAGCTACGCTACGAATTTAAAATAGGCTGATTCAAAGAAACGCGTTCCGATACGACGGATGCACCCATTTTTCTTCCCGTTTAATTATAAACCGAGAGATCTTGCCCTAACGGTCAACGAAGCGATTGTCCCGATCGCTTCCATGATCGTCGTTACCAGACAACTCTAATAAATTCAATCAAACAAAACATCGTTACTCAATATCGAGAAACCCTTTCGATATTAATTCAACCGTTTGTGTCTAAACATTTCATACTACTCATCGCCAGAAGATACATCAACCCCTTGGCGTACCTACTTTCGCTACTAAACTCGTGCAACATTTTACTATCAACAATCTGGAAGAAACGCGACAAAATTGTCCATTCCACCCAAAGTGATTCATTTGAAGATAATAAATGAATAATAGCAAAATAGTTTGCTTCGATCCATGCGTAGTCATTGTTAAATTAATCTAGAAATCTTCATCGCGAGTTCCACTCGTCGTTGCACGGCAAGGGGTTAAAAGCAAGCTACGAAACAACTATAATAACTTACGTTATCAATATAGCTGTATCATCATAGCAACCGGATCTCGAAATAAGTAGATGTATATATCCATAGAAGGGAATCCTACTCACTGTCCACGGAACGTGGAATAACCCAAATAAGAATTTCATCGCGATCGCGAGAGTTCCTTCGGGAAGGGGGATTGGCGCGGAGGATCGAGCGAATCGCGGTCTATCGCGAATCGGGGGATACGATGGCGGTGCTGCGGCCCCTCGCGGCACCCTAAATCATGGCCCGCCGCCGCTGATTCCCGTTCAATTTACTAATTGAATCGAGTGGAGCCGGCATGGGCGTAGACCAAACGGGACTCCGCCCTTCGACCCGGCTCCGCGACCCTCTCCCTCCTGTCTACACCCACTGCGAACGTTCGAGCAGCGGCCGGATAACACGCTCGCTACACGCGACCTCCGCCAAAACCGAAAGCTCCCTTCTCAGTGGCACTTGGACAGCATCCGGAAACGTATCGTCGAGCCTGGATCAAGGGGTCGTGTCGCGCGTGTCGTTTTCCGTCGCCCTTGAATCCTAATCACCGATCAGGAACCGTTGTTTCAACCCTCAAACTCGACGTTCGACGCGAACTCGTCCCCGTTAAAACGATCCCTGTCCCTTCGATCGGCGGAATTCCTGTCGGAGAACGTTCCTCGAACCGTTAGTCGACGCAGATGGCGCACTTCTGAGACTCGGTTCGATTGTCAAGAATTCCAGCGGGAGGACAGCGGGACGAACTGATTCCGATCGAATTGGATTCTTGTGCACCGTGTGACAGTTTGTGGAAAACGAGCGCGATGATGCTGGGGGGCTACGAGTCGCAGCCGGATTACTATCCACAGTGGCATCAACCCTACAACTATGTCACGCAGCTACCTTACGGTGAGTCGGAGTGGATGTGGAGGGTGAATTGATTCGAAAGGTGCGCCTTGAGTCGTCAGTTTGGGATCTGTAGACATTTGGGATTCCGGGGAAGGGGTGGTTTCGTATTGTTAGTTGCGAAGCTTTCACTTCGCTGCCTACTTTTCTATCTATCTGCTGCATTGTCATTAGCGATAAACGTATAACTAAGAAACATGCGTCATTTCACTGAAACAAGGCTCGTATTCACTAAAAACAGATACTCGAATTAACACTAGAACTACCGAGTTCAATTGTCTTCTCGAAATTGTTCTGTAGCAATTTGAACAGTAATTATTGAGGCTTCAGTTTTTCTAATACTAAACCAGTTTCTCCAGTGCTTTTTCAGAGAAGCATTGAGTAACTGGAAAAATTAAATCAGGAATGGGTCATTTTACCCATCCGGTAGTTCTAGTGTTCCTACAAGATCATCCGCAGGAACGTCGGCTCGACGTTCCTCCAGCGACGGAAGATGATTCCATCCACGCGTTCCACGAGTGTCTCCGTTGCACTCGTCGACTCCTAAATTCACCAATCTCATCAATGATAATCGACCAGTAAGCGAAACACGCGATAACACGGGAACCATTTCGGTGCAGGTCCGTTGAACGTTCCCGACGCGGACAGCCAATCGACGTACTGGGGTGCGGATTCCGGGATCTCCGGGGGTAGTTCCGGCGCAGGAAGTCCCACCGCCTCGACGCCACCCCTGATCGAAGAGATCGGTGTCCAAGAGACGAGCTACTCCCCTCTGCAGCAATTCGCTCACCCCTCTATGAGCCAGCACTACCCTAACCTGATCTATCAGCCCCAGCAAGAGGTCCCGCATCATCACCTGCACCACCACCCGCATCATCATCCGCAGAGCCACAGAAGGGACAACGATTACTCCGCGGTTTCGTCGATGAGCCAGGTCGAGAGCGGGTTCCAGCAGCACCTGCGCGAAGGCGTGAGGGAGGGCGGCCTGGTGGTCAGACCGAAAAGGAGGAACACCGCGAACAAGAAGGAGAGAAGACGGACGCAGAGCATAAACAACGCGTTCGCGGATCTTCGGGATTGCATCCCGAACGTGCCGGCGGACACCAAGCTGTCGAAGATCAAGACACTCAGGCTCGCAGCCTCCTACATCGGTTACCTGATGGCAGTCCTCGAGAGCGACGAGGGCGAGGAACCGCAGACCTTCCGCGCGGAGATCCTCTCGCACGGCAGGAGGAGCAAAACGACTCAGGCGAATCAGGTTGGTGCACCTTATTGAATTGACTACCGATCGCGCTGATTGAGATTCTTGGGAGATCCTGTGGACCAACGATTTCCAAGATCTTTTTCACTTATGTTACCGAAGTAATTTCGATAGAATAGAGAAGTCATAGATGTGTTTGGTTTTTTTATTGATTATTGATATTTGCAAATATTATGACATATTTAGCGAGAAGATTTGAGACTAGAGTTACCAGATGGATCAAAACGATCAAAATGAAGTAATTTTGATAGAATAGAGAAGTCTGATGTGTTTGGCGTTTTTATTGATTATTGGTATTTGTAAGTGTTATATATTCAGTGAGAAGATTTAAGAGCTACCAGATGTGTCAAAATGATACAGTCTTGATTTCTTCTTTCGTAACTGTTGAAAAGATATGCTACTCGAAGAAATTACGAAGTAACTTGATTTAGTAGCAAGATGAGAGATAATCCGACTGAAATCTCGCTAAATGCATTCTTATGACTCTTATAGTAAAATAACAAAAAGTCTAGTGTTAAATAGCTCCGTTCCAGAGCCCTCGGATGTAAAGGGTTTTTTCCATGTAATTCTTAATACGTTGAATGTCATGGTAGTCACCGGTGACATAACCAAATCGAGTTACTATAGTTCACTCGATTAAACAAGGGTTATTTGACAACATTTCTATATTATAAATAATGCATGATGCGGTGACATTCAGATGTAATAACGGAATTCAATCAAATCGTTTAACACTAGATTTACAAAGGTTTATTGTATAGTTTATTCTGCTGATCTTATAAAAATTGTTGTTCGTTCATTTAGATTTTGAAAATTAGAGGTTCAAAGGTTATTACAAATCAAAATCGACGTGAACGTTAACTGAATAATATTTCTAAAATTCAATGTACGTCAAATTGACGCGCAAACCTAGTGTTAGTACCATATTTTCCCATTTTGTGTAGTTTGCTCTATGAAATCGTGCGACATTCAACGTGTTACCCAGTTAACTGTGTTTGACGAATATACATGTCATCTTAAAACTCTTAATGGTGCTAACTTTTTCAACGATGGATTATTTATATTTTGAGACATGTAATTCTTCTCCGTTTCCTTTAGTCTTTCGTTAAGATACATTTTAAGTGCATTTGGCCTGCATTTAACAAGTATACACTTCACTATTTAATTTTACTGCGCGCACAATAAGAGATTTTTCAAACTAAATTCCGCATTTAACACGTTGGATCACCGGTGACCTCAACCAAATCGAATTACTATAATTTATTCAATTAAACGATGATTATTTGCAAACCTTTCTGACAAGATAAACCTACAGTAATAATAACGCATTTCAATTACATAGTTTGATATTAGATTATTTTCATTTTGTATATTTTTCTCGGCAAAATCGTACGGCACTCAACATGTTCACCGGTTAAAGGGCACAGTCGAGTGCAAAAGGTTGAAAGTAAAGAACGCAACAGTTCACAGGGTGAAGCTGTCGATTTCTATGCGTCGAACGTTAACTGACATTGAATATTTAAGTTGGAGTTAATTGAAATCACCTCAAACAACGTACTCGACCAACGCCGATTAGTTTCACGGGAAAAGTCCCTCGAGAGCGTGCACTTCAGATTTGGATTTACGCTTTCCTCGTGGACTTTCCCGAATCTCTCGGAACACTTTCGTAAGCGTTGCCCGCGAGTAAACATCGCCTTCTTTAATTGGAGCCTCGTTCGTCGCCGCTCGAGCGCACTCGACCTTAAACTCGTCATCGTGCCTCGAGATCCGTCGAGAAAGAAAAAGAGGCGGATTCCCATCTTATTTGCGCGCCGCAAGATTTCAACGAGACGCGACTAACTGGCCTTTCATGCGTCGCGGGTAGAACTTCGTTAACGTTACGCGTCGAACATTCAGCTCGCTGCTAAGAGACCCGTTAGAATTTCAGATTTATTAACCCTTCAACTGCCGCGTCGAAGAAAGGTGGCGCACCGGGGTTTAACGGAACCCGTAAATTCGACGGACATGGGATTTTTTAAACTTTAGTAACAGTTTAACGCGTTCTATAATAGCCTCACATATTTGTGACGGCCGTAATCTTATATTTTACATAATGAAGATGAAATTAATCCTGTAGATATTGTTATTAGAAATTATAAAGTACGACAGTATGTTTAGGAACTCAATGACTCAGTTTGATTTTTCTAATATTTTGTTTACAAGGTTTATTGGATTGAAGAAAATTTAATATATTTTTAGAAGATTTATTGGAGTGAAGACAAATTTTATAATTGAGGAAACTAGTAGAGAACGTGTTAAATCGATTCTGATTCGTTCAATTATGCGAATACGCATTGCAATGCTCTTTGAAGGTACAATTTTCGCGATTTATATGAATTGTATGTATAAACATGAGTAAATCTAGTGTTAAGAACTTTAAAAGTTCCCTTAAGTTCCCTTCCCGAAACATGGTATAATTAACACGTTAATTGCCACGAAAAACTTTAGTGCTTTATATATCACTTATTCTTTTGTAGCAAAACTAAAAAGGTATAATTATCAATTATTTGGTAGACAATCATTAGGTTACACTGTGTCATTTGCGTTATTAAACACTTTCATTCAGTTATCTTACGAATTATAATTTTCGAGTAATTTGAAAGCTCCGGTTATCGGTTGACCACCGTGGCAGTTCACGTATTAACATATTGCGTACGGTTAACGAGAAATCTCGTTTTTATGTAAAGACACTTAGCTATGCAATTTTGCTAATTACTATAGTACTTAGAAAAATATGAAATTTCATTCAAATTGATTATATATTTAAAATATATTACATAACAATATGACATCTGAGTGTTTCCATGTATAGTGATATAAGTTGACCTCAGTGAAAATTGCCATCCGCACAATTCAGTTTCCTGAAAATTAGCCGGTACGCAATGTGTTAACAATTAGACAACAAGTAGACCGACTAACAAACAAGCATCATTCCTCTGCGTGACGAGTTCCACTGACGGACGTGTTTTCAACAGAACCAGACAGAATATCGACGGACACGAGGAAAAGAAATTTCTAAGTGATGAAGGGAACGGAGATTGCGGTTCGGATCGGCCAGGTATCACTGATCTTCGATCATTAGTTGAAATTGCTTCGTATAACGCCGACTCCGGGGATCCGCTTTTCCATCGGACCCTGTGGTTTGTGGTTTTCCCTATTTTCTGCGATTCCTCGCCACCCACGTAGGAACCGTGATCTCTCTCTCTTTCGAACGGTCCTCGACCTTTACCTATAATTGTCATCTTACTCGATTACAAATGAACCGGTATCTCTCTCGATGAATATCCCGTAAAATAAAAACATGTGTCTTGATTTTCATTGCAGAACGAGTCGTGTTTGCACCCTGTCTCGAGTCTCATGGCCGAGGAATCGTCGAAAGGCAAAGGACGAACCGGATGGCCGCAGCACATGTGGGCCCTCGAATTGAAGCACGAGTCGCAGGCTAGCCAAATACAATAAAATCACCGATCTCTATCTATTTCCGACGAAACTGCGGCCTCGCGGACCAGAGATGCCGAACGGAAGTCTGGTCCGCGGGATTGAACAGTTTGTCGAGTCGGTTTATCGAATCGCGAGCAACGAAGGACGTCGGTGACGTTCGTACCGGAGAACTGGGACGTTCAAGATATTTAATTTATTCGAATGGCCGTGTATCGGAGCAACGCGCGAAAGTCGAATAGGATTAACCCTTCGCACCCGATTTTTCACTGGAAATATTCATCTCCGGCGAGACACGTACATTTACTGGAACTGACTTCACGTGAGATCATACGTAAATGAAGGGATATTATTTTTTTATCTGATTTCAATGTTACATTGACGTTTTGTCATTATTTTACTTCAATATTGCTTTGGTATTTTATTTGATCTCAATATTACGTTGATATTTTATTTAATTTCAATATTACGTTGCTATTTTATTTAATTTCAATATTACGTTGCTATTTTATTTAATTTCAATATTACGTTGATATTTTATTTAATTTCAATATTACATTGATATTTCATTTAATTTCAATATTACGTTGCTATTTTATTTAATTTCAATATTACATTGATATTTCATTTAATTTCAATATTACGTTGCTATTTTATTTAATTTCAATATTACATTGATATTTCATTTAATTTCAATATTAGGTTGCTATTTCATTTAATTTCAATATTACATTGATATTTCATTTAATTTCAATATTATATTGCTGTTTCACTTAGCAACGTAATATCGAGGCCATTTTACTTCATTTCAATGTTACATTGATATTTCATTTGATTTCAATATTGCACCGCCATTTCATTTAATTTCAATATTACATTCGCTTCGACATTCATCAGTGCTTTCCTTCTTCAGTCACGCGCCAGAGTCCCCACTCGAGTGCAAAGGGTTAATCAACGTAGACTCGTCGAGATGATCGTATCGTTTCGATAATTCTCAGATTTCGATGATCACTCTACGAACTTTTCGGAGCAGACTAGAGAGACGACGCGTCTTCGCCAAAAGATTCTCGTTCCCTCTTCCCGACAGCATATCATAGTCCGTTTCGTAAGGTAGACCGTCGACGTCGAACGGAGCGCCGACGATTTCGTCCCGCCGAGATGAGCGTCGTCGGGTCCGCTGTAAAAAAAAGGAATAGGCGATCGTTTGTAAATACGCGTTCGTGATACGTCACGTGTGTAAATAGAAGTGTCCTGTTACGTAGTTGATAATTAATTGTTAGCCTTCTGCGTCGGTTTTTCCGTCGGGACGAACTGCGCGCCGAGATATCAGCGTTCGAGCAATCGAAGCGAATTATTTCCGAATGAATTCGATTTAGAACACTCTACCCGCGAGAGTGCAACGCCTGAATATTCTTTCTAAACTCTAGTTTTAGAACGATCGGAATATTCACTAGTAAAACGTTTTAATTGACCCCTTGGCCTATGATACATTTCTCAACTCCGGCCGATACGGCTGCTTCGTCATTAATAATTTATTGGGAAAAGAGAAAACTTGCATATGCCTATATTTCATAAGTATAATTGATTACAGAGGAACAATATTTACTTTGAATTCGAATGAACTGAGTAATACATAGATTTGTTGAATCATTGAAAATCTTGAGTCTAACTCGTAGGACAAGGGGTTAACGATTGGCGCGGGAAAATAAGGGATGCAGAGGGCTATCGAATTATACAAGGTGAACATATATATCCATCAGCCCATCGAGGGTTTTGCGAGGAGTAAAATATAATTACGAAGTAGCTTCTACTCGGGTTTCGTTCATTAGAATCTAGAAACCCGAACGGTTTGCGGAGGTACTTGGAATCTTTTGTATAAAGTGTCGTGTCAGCGATGTATAAAAAGTCATTAGCAATAAACGGAGTGTCGTAAATTTCATCTCTCCCTCTTGTTTCATCCAACTGAACATTCCCCGCGCGCCCAGGATCGCGCGATTCGTCGGAAACGTCGTCGAGACGACGTGGAGATCCGAAATCCGTCATTGTGACGGGTTCGATAGCTGTGACATCGAATGTTTCCCTTGGTCGGAGCGTTTCGTTGCGAGTGAAACGTGTTCTCTCGAGCCACACGCTGGGAAAGCATTGTTCAACGTCGGCGATCTCGTATTTCCTGGATGTCCTGGCGCCGGTGCTCGATCCGTGCTGTCTTCTTAACACTAGAACTACCGGATGGGTCGAAATGACTCATGATTCCTTTTTCTAGTTATTGAAAAAATAACGGATGCTTCTCTGAGAAATTACTAGGGAAATTGATTTAGTAATACAGAAACTATGCAAATCAATTGGAGTAATAATTCTGTTGAGATTTCTACACAAAAATTTCAAAAAGACAAATTCTTTTTTCCAGTTATTGAAAAGATAACAAATGCTTCTCTGAGAAATTACTAGAGAAATTGATTTAGTAATACAGAAACTATGCAAATCAATTGGAGTCTCAATAATTCTGTTGAGGTTTCTACACAAAAATTTCAAAAAGTCAGTTTAACTTGGTAGTTTTAGTGTTAATAAATTGTTAGAGATAATTTCTATCTTTTTAGTCATTGCAATGAGAAGAAACCATTTAGTTTCTACAGAGAAATTTCAAAAAGACAGTTTAACAGCTTGCTAGTTCCAGTGTTCATCCTCGCGCGTCTCTGATGCGAGATTCTAAAGAAAACGCGGTTCGTCCTAGTGTTTATTACAAAAAGAATGGCGAAAGGTGGCTGTCGAACTTTAGCTTCCATTGCACGCTTGTCGCAGCTATCGTTCTACCGTGCATAAAGTAAACGAACTGTCGCTCGACAACTTATCGAGACTAAATATTCGCTGTACGTTTCGGTGACATCTCTTTCTGACGCCACTCCGATGTTTTAGCGAATCGATAAGCGGTTGATGACGACATTGTTGGTGTGTAGACATCACCGGCGAGCGACCGTTCGCTAAACAAATCGATCGAAAGGCATTCGAGCTTGCTTGCTCAGTCAGGAAAAGCTAATAGTGGTAATTTAACACATTGCGTATCCGGCTACTTTTCAAAAAACTGAATTGTTCGGATGGAAATTTTCAGTGAGATCAACTTATGTTGCTATACATACAAAAACTCAGATATCATATCGTTACGTGATGTATTTTATAGATAATCGATTTGAATCAAATTCCATATTTTTCTAGGTACTATAGTAATTAGCAAAATTGCATAGCTAAGTGTCTTTATATAAAAACGAGATTTCTCTTTGCCAGTAAGCAACGTGTTAACTCGTTATTAACCCTTTGCACTTTGGAGGTGATTATAAAAATTGGAAATTATAGAATCTGATATGTAATGTTTAACACTATTTCTACCGAAGGTGTCAAAATTTGTTGATCTTTCAACTTACAGTTATTTTCCAAGTTTAGTCGTATATTCTCAATTGACTTTTCGACTTTTCCAATAACGATTAAGTATAAGAAATGTCTAAAATTCCATTGAGAAAATGATTAGACTGAGAAAATAATTTTAAGTTAAAATGAACTTTGTACAATACCCCGATACGTGAAATATTGGAACAAAATAACCTTGTTCCTCAATGTACTCGTGATTTTCCTTCAAGTTAGTTTCAAATATCGTCTCCGCCACGTCAAAGAATATTAACCCTTTGCACTCGAAAATTGTTTCGCTAGATATCTTAATTTCCTAATGAAATATCAACTAAGATTAATATAAACACTATAGAAATCAAGAACTATTCTATTTTAACGTTTCATGGATAATTACGTGAAATGAAATTTAATACAGTATATCAAACTTTAGAACCTTGCTGTATCAAAGCAAATGGCGACTCTGACTCCTCTCGAGTGCAAAGGGTTAACATACCTCCGAATGTCGAGTGTCTTTTCAAGGTGAAATTAAATATCACCTATCTCTAGGGAGCATTCGATCTCTATGCTAAACGCAGAATTCCTCTTTCTCTGGTGAACTGCAATAACACGGTTCCGAGGAAGATAATCTGACAGGAGATCGCAAGGCAAGGGGTGAACAACATTTGCGTAGGCAATTATCGCGAAAAGATTGGCCAATTAACGCGCGAACGGTACAGAATCCGCATCCGGATCGGAAATTACGCCCGAGACTCGGCGCTACTCCGTTTCACAGTGAATCCCGCGGCGTTCCCCTTCCAGCTCGCGTTAATGACTAACGTCGATTAAATCGAGAAACGTCAAGGCTCGAGCGTGCTCGTTCTCGCGCAAAAACCTCTTGCCTCTTTGGGCCGATCACGGCCGGCCGACCGATGGCAACACCCGAAGGCCGGTATACCGGCAGACCGATTGATGACTGTTTGTTTATCGGAATGCGCGTCGAGTGGCACTACATTACGTGCAGATACCCGTCGCTCGGCTCCGGAACGTATCCTACAGCACGATTCCGCCCTGTAAACACTCCAGTTTGCATCTTAACCCCTTGCCTTACAACGCGCGAGACTCGCGGTGGAGATTTTAAATAGAATTCAACAAACACGAATGTTACTCAATTACCTTGAGTTATAATTAGATATTATTCTTCTGTTATCGACGATTATGTCGCAGGGCAAACGGAGTCATAGAACATGCATAGAATTTTTCTCTTTTTCCAGTACTTATTGTAGGAAATGATAATACTTTACGCGAAATAATACACGTACACTAAATTAAATTTTAACCCTTTGCAGTCGATTCGACGCAGCAAACTTATAAAATTTTCAATTCAATATTAAACCTTGTGGAATGTATCAACACATAGAACATCGAAGTAAAATAGTTCTGTCTCTTAATTTACAGAAGATAATCAATTGTGTTAGTTGCGAAGAATATCGTTAATATTCGGTCAGAAAGGAATGAATATTTTTAATGAAAAATATTGTCGAGTGCAAAGGGTTAATAGAAAATGGTACACACGCGCTTTATTAAGGAGTCTGATTATAGTTATTCGTCGTTACGCTCGCACAACTTGACTTCATTATTTTAATACGCGGCTCGTCAAAATACACAATGCCCCGAAATTCAAGCGCACCCTCCATTTATACAATCTTATACTTCCATCTCGGTTGTTCACTTTCCAGAACATTCTTCCGTCGCCATGCATTAACTTCATGTTTATTCTGAATATTCTAGATTCATTAACACTAGAACTACCGTACCAGTCAAAATGACTGTTTTCGATTTTTTTATTTAGCAATTATTGATATCTTCGAAGCATTGAACATTCGAAATGATTTTGAAAATAAATAGTTTCATTTCAGTACTACAATGAATGCCTGAAGAAACTGAAAATAATCTATCGTTACAATTTTCATGGAAATTGCATGTTAATCTCATTAAATGCTCGGTAGTTCTAGTGTTAATACGAATATCATTAGCGACGAGAAAACAATAATTCAAAAAATCAATATATTCTAGAATATTCCAAACACCGTGAACATTCACGCACACAAGCATAAT